AAGTCATGTATAAAATTTAAATTACTTTAAGTAGTTTGAAAGATACACGACTGTTACGATAAGTCATTGGGTCAACAGGTAAAGTATCAGTCTGGAAAGCGCAACGTACATGGTTCGAATCCCCGTTGGCACCAATCTTTTTTTTTTTTTTATGGACCTGATCGAGTCAGACATGAACAGGTCTGATCAGACATGAACATGCCTGGCCAGGTCTGATCAGACCCGGTCATTTTTCAGATCTGATCAGACCTGAAGATTCATGCCTGTTCATATCTGATCAGATCTGATCATTTTTTCCCGGGTTATGACTTATTTTATTTGTCAAATTTCTTAAGCTCACTTTATCAATCCAAAATAAAATTTTAATTATAAAATATATCTCGTTAATTGAAGTATATAAATACATTGAGAATATTGATCATAATTTTATTTTTAATTAAAAAACTAATCCTTGAAAAAAAAAACCGATTTTAATTTCAGTGTGTTACTATATTCAAAATAAGATTGGTATTTATCATCTCATTTTAAAAATAGTACCACACTGAAATTAAAATTTATTTTTTTTTCTTATTAAGAATTAGTTTTTTGATTTAAAATAAAATTTTAATCTGTATTATTCAGTCATATTATTCATATATATTTGACTGCAATGCTCTTGAAAATGATAATGTATAGAAATAGGTTATACTATTTGCAGAGAGATTCTAGTTAAATTTCAAACGGAAGCCATTTCTATGTAACATCGGACTGACGACCATGCGCGCGGCACTGACAACCGTCTGAGACAAATAAATGTCAGATGGCTCTGAGATACATGTCGGATTTAACTTAAATAAACGAAAATTTAACCTACTACAGTGTACATTTAAGTAGTAGCTATTTGTAAATTTTTTTCACTATAGATGGAACTAGGATCAGTACAACATGGAAACCAGTTAAATGGCGTTTTTTCCGTGCATAGTGGTATTGGTTGAAACCTGGCTCCAGCCCACTATTGATAACAGTGTAATTGCAATTGAGGATTACCAAATTTTTAGAAGAGATCGTAATATATTAAATTCAGTTACAGGTCGTTATCTGCGAGGTGGTGGAGTTGTATGTCTAGTTCATGATTCATTTAAAGCAAAAATATTGCAAACATCTATCTCAGATGATATAAATGCACCTGAATTTTTAATTATGGATATTATTACTAAATTAGGCTCACACCTTTTGCTCTCTTGTATTTATCGTAGACCAAATGGGCATACATTGTTTAATTTTTGCAATACGTCCTCTAAACTTGTACCTTATTTTAAAAATTCAATTATAACGGGTGATTTAAATTGTAATCTGTTAGACACAAATTGGTCCTCAAACCATTTGAATACTTTTATACTTGAATCTTCTTTATTTTGTATACCTTTCAATGCAACTCATCACACTGAACGGAGCGACTCTTGGTTGGATGTAATCTTACTAGATGACCAAAGTAAACTTGGAAATTATTTTAAATCTGATGCACTTTTTATTGCTGGTCATGATTATTTATATTGTGAATATCAAATTGATCTTCCGAAACCGGTAGAAAAATTCATTGTTTACAGAAACTTTAAAAATTGCGATCACACTGCTTTATCAATGTCTCTTGTAAATGCTTTATGTCTTGGATTCGATGTATTAAATAATATTGATCCGAATGAATTATTGGAGTTCTTTTTGAAAGGCGTTTTAGATGCATTAGATGATTATGCACCAGTAGTAAAATGTAAAATAAACGGCAATTCAAATTGCTGGATTACAAGAGATTTAAAAAATAAATGCCGAGAATGTGATAAATTGTATAAACTTGCGAAGAGAACTGGTGATCAAATTATGTTAAAACATTTTAGGATTAGAAGAAAAGAATTAAAAATAGAATTAAATCATGCGAGAGAAACTTATCTAAAAAATGCCCTTGTAAATTTACCTACTGGTCGTACTGTTTGGAGTGGGCTCAAGCATTTAGGGCTAATAAAAGGAAAACAATCTTCTCCCTTAAACTACTTTGATCCTAATGTTCTTAACGATTATTATGCTATAATTGTCAGACAACATGAACCTTGCAATGTAGAATTTCTAGATTCACTATTTACACTATATAGCAGTAAAGTACATTGTTCTTTCGATTGGAGCATGGTTGATATTGTTGATGTTACCAAAGCCTTGAGTTTAACATTGCAAAAATCTAAAGGTAAAAGTCCGGATGGGTTAAATCTAGGTTGGCTGAGAGACCATATTCAACAAATATCATTATTTCTTACATCATTATTTAATCGGTCTTTTGCGACGGGTATCTTTCCTGATATTTGGAAGATGGTTTTTATTATTCCGCTAAATAAAATTACTCCACCCAAGTCACCATCTGATACTAGACCGATAGCAAATCTCTCTCATCTAAGTAAGGTCTTTGAAAGAATCGTTGCTAATCAGGTTGTTAATTATTTAGAGCAAAATGAATTATTAGACAAATACCAATCTGGTTTCAGAAAATATCATAGTACTCAAACAGCACTTTTACAACTTACTGATGACTTGAGACATGCTTTAGATGCAGGAAAATTGACAGTACTAGTATTGTTTGACCTAAGTAAAGCATTTGATTATATAGATTCAAAGGTGATTTTGATAGCCATGATCGGATTGGGATTTTCTATTGAAGTTGTAAGTTGGTTTTTCTCTTATCTCTCAAATCGATCTCAGTCAATCATAGATGAAAATGGCTCATGCTCCCCGGTGGGCTTTTTAGCAATGACTTCTGGAGTTCCTCAAGGCTCCGTTCTAGGACCTATTCTTTTTCTTTTAGTAATAAATCTAGTTGCAAAAAAAATTATAAATTGCAAATACGGGTTGTTTGCAGATGATAAACACATCTATTATCATTTCCATCAACCTCATTTACTACAAGCAATCCAAAAGGTTACAGTAGATGCTCAAGCTATTGCAGATTGGACTGCAGAACGTGGATTAAAATTAAATTTAAATGAAACGGTTGCAATGATTATTGGATCAAATGGTAGATTAAGAAAGTTAGATGTAAACTCAATACCTCCTATTGTTGTTGATGGCATTGCATTGCCATATGTAAATTCGACCAAATGCTTGGGCTTACACATCAGTAACAATCTCTCTTGGAAGCTACATGTGTCTTATACAATAAAGAAAATAAACTCAGCGATCCATAGTCTTAAAGTACGAAAAAATATTTTTACTCAGGAAATAAGAAAATTATTAATTTCAGCTACTGTACTTCCACTAATTGATTATTGTAGTGCTGTACTTATTGATTATACGGCAGAAAACGATTTAATACTACAGAGAGCAATAAACAGTTCAATTTGATTTATTTTCAGTCTTAAACGTGATGACCATGTAACTCCCTATCATCGATTTTTAAAATGACTTTCCATAAAATCAAGACGGACTTATTTTATAGCAACATATTTCTTTAAATTATTACAAATAGATAAGCCGACTTACTTGAGTGAACAATTTATTGATATTGATTCTCGACGATCACAAGGATTAGCTCTCAAATCAAATAATGTTAACTTTGAAATCCCGCATTTTACATCAAATTATTATGAAAATTCATTTGTTATTACTGTCATCCGTCTTTGGCAAACATTGCCCCCTGATATTATTGGTGCTTACAGTATTGAGGTCTTTAAAACCAAACTGTTAAATTATTTAATGGAGCAAGAGACTTAAATTAAACTAAGTTACTTATTGCCACTCTCGGTGTTATCATAAATAATATTGTTATTATCATTTATTGTACAACTACAGATATTATATAATCCTATCTACCCTAGTTAAATCATATAAAAATTAAATTAAATTCATACTATAGTTAATCATAAGAATTTTTATTGTTATACTCATTATATTTCAATTCTTATAAAATTGTATCCACTATTGCAAAAAAAAAAATATTTTGTATACCTTGCCATTTGGCAACAGCCTTGGCATTATTAAATAAATAAATAAAATAAAATAAATTATCCGTGTATAATGCATCTCGCAGTTGTTTAAAAGACTTCTCTTTTGGAAGTTGTAATCTTCTTTGGGACCAACGACGCATGCATTCTAAGGAGTTATTTCTTTTAATCCGAGCAGCAGCTTGAGGATGCCTAAATTAAAAGAGGCTGTTGCTAGTGATCCGACAATTTGGATGAATAAAAAATTAGGAAAACGGTTGACCCTGAAGGCCATCCCTGCAACTTCCCGCCAATTCTATACCTAAACGCTTGAAATTGCACTTATGACATTTTAGAGCTCTTTGAACTCTTAAATACAATTTGTGTATTATTTTGAGCTCTCCGAGCTCAAAATAATAGTTTTTGTATGCTTTTGAGCTCTTCGAGCTTAAAAGTTTGATAGATGTTTGATAAAACACTATTTTTAACTTCCCGCTAAGAAAATTGAAAATTTTCAAAAATCGGGAAGTTATTGGTTTTACCCCGTTTTTCGAAAATCGAGTTTTCATCAGATCTCGACGTTTTGAGGTCCTAGGAAGCTTTCCTGACTATTCCCGCGAGGGTGTCACTATGTCTGTGTGTGTGTGTGTGTGTGTCCGTGTGTGTGTGTGTGTGTTCATCGCGGTTGGTGCCATTCGAAAGGGCTTCGCCAAACTTAGATTTCCTGAAAATTTGAACCGATTCGGACCAATAGATTTTGAGAAATATATAATTCTATATAATTATATATGATTATATATAATTCTATATAATTATATATGATTATATATAATTCTATATAATTATATATGATTATATATAATTCTATATAATTATATATGATTATATATAATTCTATATAATTATATATGATTATATATAATTCTATATAATTATATATGATTATATATAATTCTATATAATTATATATGATTATATATAATTCTATATAATTATATATGATTATATATAATTCTATATAATTATATATGATTATATATAATTCTATATAATTATATATGATTATATATAATTCTATATAATTATATATGATTATATATAATTCTATATAATTATATATGATTATATATAATTCTATATAATTATATATGATTATATATAATTCTATATAATTATATATGATTATATATAATTCTATATAATTATATATGATTATATATAATTCTATATAATTATATATGATTATATATAATTCTATATAATTATATATGATTATATATAATTCTATATAATTATATATGATTATATATAATTCTATATAATTATATATGATTATATATAATTCTATATAATTATATATGATTATATATAATTCTATATAATTATATATGATTATATATAATTCTATATAATTATATATGATTATATATAATTCTATATAATTATATATGATTATATATAATTCTATATAATTATATATGATTATATATAATTCTATATAATTATATATGATTATATATAATTCTATATAATTATATATGATTATATATAATTCTATATAATTATATATGATTATATATAATTCTATATAATTATATATGATTATATATAATTCTATATAATTATATATGATTATATATAATTCTATATAATTATATATGATTATATATAATTCTATATAATTATATATGATTATATATAATTCTATATAATTATATATGATTATATATAATTCTATATAATTATATATGATTATATATAATTCTATATAATTATATATGATTATATATAATTCTATATAATTATATATGATTATATATAATTCTATATAATTATATATGATTATATATAATTCTATATAATTATATATGATTATATATAATTCTATATAATTATATATGATTATATATAATTCTATATAATTATATATGATTATATATAATTCTATATAATTATATATGATTATATATAATTCTATATAATTATATATGATTATATATAATTCTATATAATTATATATGATTATATATAATTCTATATAATTATATATGATTATATATAATTCTATATAATTATATATGATTATATATAATTCTATATAATTATATATGATTATATATAATTCTATATAATTATATATGATTATATATAATTCTATATAATTATATATGATTATATATAATTCTATATAATTATATATGATTATATATAATTCTATATAATTATATATGATTATATATAATTCTATATAATTATATATGATTATATATAATTCTATATAATTATATATGATTATATATAATTCTATATAATTATATATGATTATATATAATTCTATATAATTATATATGATTATATATAATTCTATATAATTATATATGATTATATATAATTCTATATAATTATATATGATTATATATAATTCTATATAATTATATATGATTATATATAATTCTATATAATTATATATGATTATATATAATTCTATATAATTATATATGATTATATATAATTCTATATAATTATATATGATTATATATAATTCTATATAATTATATATGATTATATATAATTCTATATAATTATATATGATTATATATAATTCTATATAATTATATATGATTATATATAATTCTATATAATTATATATGATTATATATAATTCTATATAATTATATATGATTATATATAATTCTATATAATTATATATGATTATATATAATTCTATATAATTATATATGATTATATATAATTCTATATAATTATATATGATTATATATAATTCTATATAATTATATATGATTATATATAATTCTATATAATTATATATGATTATATATAATTCTATATAATTATATATGATTATATATAATTCTATATAATTATATATGATTATATATAATTCTATATAATTATATATGATTATATATAATTCTATATAATTATATATGATTATATATAATTCTATATAATTATATATGATTATATATAATTCTATATAATTATATATGATTATATATAATTCTATATAATTATATATGATTATATATAATTCTATATAATTATATATGATTATATATAATTCTATATAATTATATATGATTATATATAATTCTATATAATTATATATGATTATATATAATTCTATATAATTATATATGATTATATATAATTCTATATAATTATATATGATTATATATAATTCTATATAATTATATATGATTATATATAATTCTATATAATTATATATGATTATATATAATTCTATATAATTATATATGATTATATATAATTCTATATAATTATATATGATTATATATAATTCTATATAATTATATATGATTATATATAATTCTATATAATTATATATGATTATATATAATTCTATATAATTATATATGATTATATATAATTCTATATAATTATATATGATTATATATAATTCTATATAATTATATATGATTATATATAATTCTATATAATTATATATGATTATATATAATTCTATATAATTATATATGATTATATATAATTCTATATAATTATATATGATTATATATAATTCTATATAATTATATATGATTATATATAATTCTATATAATTATATATGATTATATATAATTCTATATAATTATATATGATTATATATAATTCTATATAATTATATATGATTATATATAATTCTATATAATTATATATGATTATATATAATTCTATATAATTATATATGATTATATATAATTCTATATAATTATATATGATTATATATAATTCTATATAATTATATATGATTATATATAATTCTATATAATTATATATGATTATATATAATTCTATATAATTATATATGATTATATATAATTCTATATAATTATATATGATTATATATAATTCTATATAATTATATATGATTATATATAATTCTATATAATTATATATGATTATATATAATTCTATATAATTATATATGATTATATATAATTCTATATAATTATATATGATTATATATAATTCTATATAATTATATATGATTATATATAATTCTATATAATTATATATGATTATATATAATTCTATATAATTATATATGATTATATATAATTCTATATAATTATATATGATTATATATAATTCTATATAATTATATATGATTATATATAATTCTATATAATTATATATGATTATATATAATTCTATATAATTATATATGATTATATATAATTCTATATAATTATATATGATTATATATAATTCTATATAATTATATATGATTATATATAATTCTATATAATTATATATGATTATATATAATTCTATATAATTATATATGATTATATATAATTCTATATAATTATATATGATTATATATAATTCTATATAATTATATATGATTATATATAATTCTATATAATTATATATGATTATATATAATTCTATATAATTATATATGATTATATATAATTCTATATAATTATATATGATTATATATAATTCTATATAATTATATATGATTATATATAATTCTATATAATTATATATGATTATATATAATTCTATATAATTATATATGATTATATATAATTCTATATAATTATATATGATTATATATAATTCTATATAATTATATATGATTATATATAATTCTATATAATTATATATGATTATATATAATTCTATATAATTATATATGATTATATATAATTCTATATAATTATATATGATTATATATAATTCTATATAATTATATATGATTATATATAATTCTATATAATTATATATGATTATAT